GGATAACAAGTGTTTGATGTATTTCAGATTGGATCACCTATGGCAATGCACTTTAGAAAATAAAACAGTCAAGTAAGACAAACATAAATAAGTAACTGAAACACTCCAGAGCAAAATTAAATATTTCTTGTTATGTTTATAATATTTTCCTTTGTCATGTATTCAGCATTCACTAAATGACAAGAATCATCTGTCTGAGCTGGGACAAATATTACTGTAGGAGTGGCCATTGCTGCTGACAGTATGCAGCTCTTCTTGACCCATCCCTAGAGAAACTTGGAGAAATTTCTCATTTCATCCAGAGAAATATTCCCAGAGCTCTCTTCAGCACTCTTTAGTATGTGTTTATAGTTTCCAGTCATACAAAGACTTCCACATGCAATCTGTAGGTCAGCCAAGTTGGCTACCTTTTATTAAATAGACCCTTCTGACTAAACTTGGAGAAATCTGTGGAGTTTTACCATTAGTCACAGTGAAACCAAGGCTTTCCCCTGCCATCACCATACTTTCAAGTTCCAGAAGTACTCATAAGGGAGAGACCATTCAACGTTTACCCTGATCTAACACAGATATAGCACTACACCAAGATGTATGCCAGGAAGGTAGCAGGTTCTCAGCCTGTCCCTGATGCCCTCAACCTCAAGATATGGAGGACAGTGTGCCTCTTGACTTGCTAAACAGCTGAAAGCCCATTCTTTATCACTCAGCTGCCTCCTCTCTCTGCAGGTTATGCAGCCCACCTCTCCTATAAATCATCCTATAAATGAGTCATTACACTGAACATATTTCCTTTAATTTGAATAAAGCATTGAGGTGAGCTACCGGACAACATATCTCTGATGTTTGTCTCAACTGAAGATTAAAACTGTAGAATCATAGAATGATTTAGGTTGGAAAAGGCCTTGATATCCCCAGGTCGAACCATCAACTTGACCCACTAAGTTCCACCACTAAGCCACATCCCTTAATTTACACATTCACACATCACTTAAATGCATCCAAGGATGTGGAATCCACCAATTCCCTGAGTGGCCTGTTCCAGAGCTTGATCATCCTCTCCATGAAAAAAGTTCTTCCTAATATCCTAAAATCCAATCTAAACTTCCCTTGGTGTAACTTGAGTCTGCTTCCTCATGTTCTATCACTTACTACTTGAGAAAAGAGTCCAACATCCTTTTCACTACAACCTCTTTTCAGGTTGATGTGGAGAAGGGTGAGGCTTCCCCTCACTTTCCTCAGCCACTTTTCATAATGTGTTTCCTAGGCCTTTCACCAGCTTTCTTTCTTTTCTCTGAACACAGCCAGGTAATTAACTCTAATCAACATCCTTCTTGTAGTGAGTCTCAAAACTGAGCACAATATTAAAGATGTGATCTCACCAGTGCCACGTGCAAGGGGACGATCACTTCCCTAGTCTTGCTGGCCACGTTATTTCTGATGCAGCCCAGATGCTAAAAAGAAAATTACCAGTCAGCAACAATGATTCAGAAGTGATTTTCCACTTTTTGGTATCCAAAAGCTATTAGCAAGCATCAGAATGCTGAGTAATGTAGGCTGCCAAGTCAGTCTGTATGAATGTGGCGGGAGGCAGCAAAAGTATCCTGAACTACAATCCAAAGGAAACTTGACTTGATGAATAATCATATTTCATACTAAAGAACATATATTGTTTTGCAATAGGCATAAAATAATTCCATCCTCTTCTGTTTTCAGCAAACTGTGCATAAATATCTTTCAGTAGAAAGTTTTGGTTTCCTTTTTTTTTTCACAAAACAAGAAAAAACTCAGCTAAAAGCTTACAAGAGCTTTCTTTTACAAAGTCCTTGAGAACTGTCAGTAGGCAGGGCTATGATTCTAGTGCTAAGGATCCTGCATGAAAATTATTATATGCTACACCGAGGTAAAACAAAAATTGCAAGCTGTAGTATGTTACAAAGATAAACTCGGCCATTAGATTAGTGGTTGTGTAAGACGGTGCCACAAACGCTGAGCAAACTAATATCCAACATGCCACAATTTTTTATTCAACATCTCTTAAAGATGATTTTCCAACCCCATTTCTGAAACAATTATCTTCTGTGGGTGTGAATAAGACCTTTAAATATTATTTGAACGTAGATTGATGGGTGATTCATTTACCAGAAATTGCGTGAATTCTTCTTAGCTGCAAATCATCAGTATGGGATCTCCTGAATAAATATGACTCCCTCTGTTCAAAAGCTGTGCACAAAATATTTTCACCGTTATTTAAAGTTTCTTGAAACTGAGATTTTGACCATCGGAATAACGTTAGCACCACCTAGAGGCACACATTATAACGACACTTATCCAGACCCGTCATTTTAAAGTGCCTGGTTCATGCCTTCACTTTCAGGAGGTTCCCCTTAGTCTATGTTTTTGAGAGTTATTATCACTCCAAAGTTATACTCCAAAGCCTTTAACCAAGAGGAATTTTTTCTTTTTGCAAAATAAAAATGTTCTTTTTGCCTATACAAGAACAGACAAACAGCACCACTTAGTACTGTTTTACTATTTAAAACAAATGAACTCCTATTAAAACTGTAATCATTGTATATCTGATTTTGAACATAGATGATCAGAACCGTGAATTGAGCTCTTTTCATTCCCGTAAGAATATTCCCACATGTAACCAGCATCAGGATTTCTTTGAGGCTCAGAAATATTTTGCCTCTGACTTCTTGACCTAAATCATGCCAATCATGACTCCTAGTCATACTGTATGCGTCAAGGACTTCCATTTTCTACAGATGAGCTCTAATTATATAGAGAAGTTTTGCAGCTGATGCCCCAATGCATGATCTTGTGTTTCATATTATTATTTTCCTAATGTCTATCATTCTTTTGTCAAGACTATTTTATCTTTCTAGTAGAGCTATTCTTCATCCTCTTGAAAAAGTTTTGAAACTTATTTTCTCAGAAGTGTCATTCACAGATAACTAAAAGGTTTATGTTGTCACCTCTGAATAGCTTCCTACCTTTCTGAAAATGTACTCTTTTGAAGATAATGCCTTCAGTACTTGTTTATTTATTGTATTTTATGTCAGCTAAAAAAAGAAAAAAATCATAGTTACTATATTCGGCTTTCTTGTAGTCCCAACTGCCTATTTAAAACTTCATAATAAAATACATTATTCTTCTTAGCTCAGAGACCCTTCAGAAATGAATTCTGTTAACTTTCATACTACAGCTTTCACTAGAAGTATCTGTGTCCCACTGATATCAGTACAATTTGTTCTTCAACCCAGACTGTGAAGTGAAATCCAGCCATCATCAGTAACCACTTAACAAAATTCATTTTAAAAATAATATTTAGTACTCAAGATATGCATAACCAAACAAGAATTAAAGCACTCAGCAGATACCTAACATGACATGACAACACTTCTTTCAGGTTTGGGGTTTTTTTTTTCTATAATGACAATTCAAACCTCAGCTCTTTTCATCTTCCTTTAAAACTTCATCTCAGTGTTATGTAGTCTTTCTTTCTGACTTCTTCTCATGGTGTAATGTTTAGTATTAAATGTGGAGGTTGGTAGCCCTGCATGTGGCAGGGGGGTTGAAGATTCGTGATCCTTGAGGTCCCTTCCAACCCTGGCCATTCTGTGATCCTGTGATTCTGTGTGTGTCACAATTTAAGGCATTATTACTGCTCTTCCACCATTCTGTTTCAAGGTGAGGTCTGTATCTTACTGAATTATTTCTAGCCTTTTGCATTGGGATGAAGATTCATCTCCTATTTGTTCTAATCTCATCCAACATCCTCAATTGGATCAGATATGAACTCTTTCTATGCATGTATGACTGGTAGCAGTGTAATTTTCTTTTTCCTTGCTCTTTCTAATAGATACTTAAAAGCATATAGCTTAAGTCTACTGTGTAACCCTTTGACACTTGAATGCCTCACATATTCACGCAAGACAGGTATTCCTCAAGCACTTTCATCTCATCCTATGTCCACTAGCGTCTTCCTGTACAGGTTGAGGCAGAAAAGCACATATAAGATAGCTAAATATTGCCAGTTACAGAAAGTACACATTTACTTTAAGTAAACATGAGAAAGTGATATCTGGATTCCTAATTCTGAGAAAATTAATTCGCAGACACACAGAAGTTGTCCATGCACACCACTCTCTTGTCCTTCATCATCAATTCAGTTTGTCCTCCAGACTCTTCAAATTTTTGTAGCCCTCTTTTGGACGCTTCTGATAGTTTTATGTCCTTCTTATGTTGTGGCACCCAAATCTGCACCCAATGCTCAAGGAGAGGCCACACACACAGTGCAGATCAGACAACTCCTCCCCTCGCCTGGCAGCAATGCTGGGCCTGGTGCACCCCAGGGTATGGCTAACAGGGCATACTGCTGGCTCACGTTCTACTCGCTGTCAACCAGAACCCCCATATCCTCAGGGATAAAGCTTAAGGATTTTAAATCCTGTTTGCTATATGCAGGTGACTTGTTCTGCCTTAATGGAAATGTGTAAAACATGAAAACAGTGGCAACACATACCATTCAGCATGTACAGTTCTCTTGCTGGCTAGACTGGGTAGCCCTTTTCCTAGCACAGAAGTTGTGACACCATCGCTAATGAATGTTTAATTCTTAGCACACCCACAATAAGTTACTATTAACTTCACCATGCAGCAGCAGGCAGAAAAGCATGAGCCAGGCAGGCTGTACACAGGGACAGAAAACAGATAGGGGGCCAAACGTATAGCAAGGCTGTGCACAGGAGGCACACAGAAAGAGCGCAGTATTAGAGAACTGCAAAGAACTGCAATGCTACGGGCATGTGAGCAACCGCATCCACCCGCGCGCAGGCAGTAAGGCAGCGATGCTCACACACCTTACTAAGGGCGGTCTCCCTACACCATCTTGGTTAAGGGCACGATTTCCCTTCGCCGCGACACTTCCGCCCCGGCTCAGTACGTCTGCTTACTCTGCCCCTCGCGGGGATGGGAAGTATTGGCTAGAGCTTCGCTGCGCGGCTCTTTTTGGTGTCCATGCGGCGGGAGGCCGCTATGGGGCGCTCTACGCCGGGCTGAGCAGAGTAAAGCGGGCGCCGCGCGGAGCCGGGAGCGGCATCGGCATCGGGCTGTGTCCGGGTGTAGCTGGACGATCCCCGAACCGAAGCGCTGGCCGCATTGAGTGACCGGAGCAGTTTGGGGAAAGGAGACGACCGCATTTCGGGTGACATCTGCCTGAGGACAAGGGGGAAGAAGAGTGAGTCAGCCTCTCTGCCCTGCTCCGAGTGCAGCCGCTATCTCTGCCTGCCGGGGAAGCCAGCCGAGCTGTGCGGGTGGCCCTTGCCCTGCGAGGGGCTGAAGCACGATCACACTGGGGCAGATGTGAGTGCTGGGGATGAAACGTGCCGATCGATAGTATATTTGCCTTTCTCATTCTGATTTATTTTTTTGTTTTTGTCTTGCAGAACTTCCTTAAGGTCAGAGGTATCGCGGTGGCTGCGGCTGGTCAGTTATGCTGGCATCCACAGATAACAGCTGATCACGGGCAACAGCTGGTCCTGGGCCTTTGTGAAGTCTGCACAATGCGTGTGTTTACTTCGGTGTCCTCTGGAGAGGGATAGGGCCCTTCAAGTCAGGTGCAGCACAGCTTGACTGCGTCCCAAGTGAGTAGGAGTTGAAAGGTAAATTAGTGGTTGGAGGAAGAGTAGGAATTCACAGAGAAGTTGCTTGTAAGAAGACATGTCAAGAACAGTGAGTTCTGGTTGATCTGTTAAATGTGTGGTTTGTGTCACTTGAGAGACAAAGAGGCACAGTATGCTATTGAGACACAGTTTTTGTAACACATAGGACTTCAGAACTGTGATAAAAGGGCAGCCTCTGCTGAGGGTCTGGTTGGTTTGAGACCACATTTTTCTCTTTGTTAGTTTTCTAACTCTTGCATACTGACAGGTGTTATCTGGCTGTTGCTGAAAGGAGAGGATCTTGGTTTATGTGGTCAGACTGTATGGTTTTTATTTGGTAACTTTCAGAATTGTCACTAAATAAGTTAATTGTGGCCCTTGTTCTTTATCATCTCCCTTACGTCTTTGTCATTTGAGACTTGTGTGTGCTGGGAGAAAAAAGGAGTTGAAGTCCTTCCTTTCTTCCTTTTTTCCTACTGATGGAGTCTTCTTTGACTGAGAGGCAATGCAGTGCTGCCTTTCAGTTACTCTGATTCCAGAAACTGCACCATGTAATGACAAAAATATAGTGTAGGTTTGAATAATACCTAGTGTTCAATTAAATCAAGAGAAATTAGACATTTCAGTTCTGAAAGAGTTGTGAGAAAACCATTTGTCACTCACTTCTAAGATATTATGGTTCTGAAATTCTGTAAGTTGTTAAAAGATTCTAAGCTTTTCCATGTTATTTTTGTGGATTATTCTGTAAATGAAATGTATTAGGGTTCCTCAATGCACCTCTTAAGTAACACGTCTGTTATAAATTAGTGCTGCTTACAAGTTTTTGTCTGATGTGGTGCTGTGGTAATTTCAATACAGCATGTAAATGTGGAAATAATATGACAAGCATTGAGCATTATAATTCATAACAGATCCATGGGATAAATGTGAATTCCTCCTTAAAAGAGAGCATGGAAAGTTGCCCAAATGCCTTTATAGTACTGGCATCTATCTAAATCTTTAATGCATATGAGTCTTTTGTCTATCTCTCTTTTGGGTGTGGACTGTTATTTTTGGCTTACTGGGTATTGTTGATGGTGTTTTGTTCTTTTTCTTTTCTTCACTTTTTTTTTTTTTTTTTTTTTTTTCTAAAGAGCAACTGTCATAGATGACCTCAAGAGACTTTAGAGTATGCCCCTAGTTTGAACGATGGAAAATTTACACCAGGTATAAGGAAGAAATGTTTTACAGTAAGGATGATGAGGCATTGGAAGATGTTGCCCAGCGAGATGGTGGAAACCATGTCTTTGGAGACATTCAAGGTCAGGCTGGACCAGGCTCTGAGCTATGGTATCCCAGTTCAGTGCAGTGAAGTTGGATTAGATGGCCTTTATGGGTCCATTCCAATTCAAACAACTCTATGATTCTGTGTCTACTTTCTATTTCATTAATGTGATATAGAGCATTTTTGCATCTGAGATGATCTGACTTATCAATTCTCTGAATTTGTTTTTGTTTTAATTATGCTTTTGGCCTGGTGTTCCTCTTCCTAAAGATTGTAAGTTTATTTCTTCAGCACTTATCAGAGTTTCCTTCCACTTCAGTTTTTCTAGAAAGCTTCTCTTTGCTTGTTAGAATGCAATTTAGAAGCAATTCCATAAATGCATAAGCTTTTTGCTCAAACCAGCAAAACTGTTCTAATTAACTTATTTTCTGATAGATGCATTCAAAGTGGTGCCATAGTGGCATCCTGTTTTTTTTTTTCCCACAAATTGTCTGAGTAAACGATCTATCTTTTCCTAGTGGAAAAAAAATGTTCTCAATACTGTGGCAAGTTTCATATCAATATTAAGACTCATATTTGTGAGTTTATTTGCATTTAGCTGCTTCTGTCATTAATTTTTATATTCATCTTAATATATGAATTAACTTTTCCTGTTACATTTTAAAATTCATTGGCAATCTTTAGACATGATTATAAAAAGTCTATCTACAAAGATGTTCTATACCTTCTGAAAAAAAGAAGATATTGTGTAGGAGTGAGGAAAAAGAGTGTAGGTTTATGTTTACATTGCCTAATATAAGCTTGTCCGATTCTGGTGAAGTACAATTGTCATGTATGCCACTTTCAATTTCTTTAACATCTTCCTCCTCTTCATTTCTTTTACTACCAAAATTTGCTGTCCTTCTTAGTTTCTCAGTTGCGGGTTTAGTTTTTTTTGACTAGAGGAAGGGAATACAAGAGTTTTCAATTGCTGGATTACTTTGACTTACGCTGGAGAACTCACATATTAGAGACTTTGTGTTTCTAGTAGTTTCTGACTGGATATTAAGATGAGTACCTCAGTTGACTTGCAGTTGATCTAGGCAGTAGTCACTTAGAGAAACAGAAAATATAGTCTTAATTTTTTTATTTTTTTATTATTTATTTATTTATTTATTTATTTTTGAGGTTGCTGCTTTTGAAGGCATGGTGAAGGCTTCTTGTTTGTTTGTTTAAATGACTTCAGAGTTTTGTCCAAACTTGAAAACTGCAATTCTCATTTGTACTTGAGTATTACCTAGGGCTATCAAATTTCAAAGGGGAGATTTTCTTCTCTATTTCACCTCTCCCCACTTCTTTGATCCATTTGGGATCAACTTCAGTTTGTGTGTGATTTTGTTTGGTTTGGGTCTTTGTATGGCTTTTGTGTTTTGTTTGTTGTTATTTATTTTTTTTTTTTCTTCCAGAAGGTTGCAAGAGCCTTGGCTGTGTCCAGTTCTAACAGCTGAGTATATTGTTGTCTTTGCTAATGCAGGTCTTGACTCTTCTGTTTGTTCTTGTTATTTACACAAAGAGATGCTACGATTCAAGTTCTGACTTTTCTTTTTAGGTTATTTTCATAATGTTTTCATAATGCATATAATGCAATATGAGGAGCTTAGCAAATCAAGAACAATATGGTTTTGGCAAATGCTTATCCCACTTCTTTGTGAAAGGAGAGTTGCTATCAGAAAGAAAAGTAACTTAGTCTTACATACTCAGGCAGTATCCTTGCCTTTGTTCATTGCTTTTAAATATTATACTTCCATGTGGTCTTAGGAACGTTTAGATGGATGGATGTGTTCTAGTCTTGCTCTCTGACTAGTCACAGTCATCTCTGCAGTATGAGAAACACCAGACACTAGTAAATGGAGGTTGCCATTTACTACTATTACTGTTAGGTTATTCTGGTTGCAGTCAAGTTTGCCCATGGCTTCTGTATCCTGAAGTATTTGGAAGGCAGAACAGGAAAACTTTTCAAGATGAGCAACCTAATGTAATATCAGTTATAAAATGCATAATGCTTGTTGAAGAGCTGTCGGATGTGCAGCTGTGTTATGAGAATACACCTTAAGCAGAGGCTTATATCCTTTATTGGGAAATAAACCTGAGAAACTTGAAATGCCTAACTTGTTCTAGTGTGACTTGATGCTTTCTCAGAAAAATCTTGGCAATGAAAACCAAGGAACCGTCTGAAAACTGGTATCTCACAGATCTTTTCAAGGCATTTGAATACTTCCTTAAAAAGACAACTACTAAACCCAATTCAGAGAGCTGAGAAGGTAACTAGCTTGGACTTGCTTTCTCCAACTGCCAACTATTCACATTGGGTTGCTACTTAGCTTATGTTGGCTCTTCTCTCTAAGAGAAACACAACTCCTGTAATATAGGAACTTTATAAAAAAATAAACACTGCTGTAAAAACTTTTGTTTTCCTGAGAAATTCTTCCTGGTTCTGCTGCCTTCTTCCTTAGCATTTGTGTTTCAGGCTTAAACAGGTAGGATACCACTCCCTCAATCTAAGTAGTTCCCCAAATGTGCTGTTGTGTTACTCTGCATCTGAGAGCTTTCTGCTTGTTAGGTATAGTCTGTAGGTTGTTTTTCTGTGTTTTTTTGTTTTTTTTTTTGTCTGCTAATGACATTTCAATGAAGGGCTGCAACAGTTTTGAGAGATTATGTGTTGTATTGAAGAGTGGTCACTGTACATGATTCATACTAAACCAGTATCCTGATCTTTGCTATCATCTCTTTCTGGGGACTGCACTTGATATAATAATATATATCGGACAAGGCTTGTGAAGGGAGGTAATCATCTTTCATTAGGCTGGCTTATAATGGGACACAGTTCCAGGCAAGCTTTAGGTCACAGAGTGACCTAGACACACATCAGATCTTTTTTCCATCTACATTAGTCTAATAAAAGGTATTACATCTCCATGGAAACACTGCCTGACTTGCAGTCTTGTTAATACAAGGCTGCAACAACGTGGCAACCATCATCAAAGCTGACCAACATGCTATATACTATGTACACTGTGCTGTGTGCACTTATTTCGTCTCTAGGGTTTTTATATTCAAGATGTGATTAATTATGCTTTGATCAACAGTCTTTCTGTTAAGTAAATTTTGAATCCAAATTTAGTTTGTCTGTCTTGAAGACTTTGATTTTGGACTGCCTTTGCTATCTTTCAACATTGCTTTAATATGTGTTTTAATAAATGAGATCCAGTTTAATAACTGTAGAAGCCTTAAAGGTCATTCATGCTTTGTACACAAGCATGTATAATTTATCAGAATATTTGTCACTTTTTGTTTTGTTTTAGCTTAATTGTTTTCACAAGCAGACAAATACTTCATGGGATAACCTTTACTGCTGTCTGTTGTTTACCAAGTGAAGGATACTACAAAGTTGTTGATGATGCCTATTTTATGTAAAGTGTATCTCCTACTTGAGATAAGGAACTAAATTGGAAAGCAATTTAACTGGTGTTTTAGGCTGTGTCAATAATGATCTCTTAGCTTCCTATATTCTATTTCCTTAGATCTTCTCTGTTTTCATGAAAATACGTTTTTTACTTCATGATAAAGGAAGACTCAAATAATTAATTTGAAGAGTTTAGTGTTAATTACACAACTTTTTTTTTTTTTTTTTTTTTCTGCCAAAGCTGAACAGTACTGAAAGCTTCTGAAATGTTTCCTT